GCTGTCACTAAAAATGATTTTGCATAGACAATAGACAAAATGAGTTGAATGAGTCAAGTAGTTAGTCAGGGTTTCATTGTTTTTTTTTTGTTTTTTGTTCATAGTATCGGGGGCTTTTCAGTGACAAAAAAATTAAGAAAAATCACTCTTAAAGGTTATAATGCCGAATTTTTGAGCTTTGGGAAAATGTTTTCAGTGATTAGAATAATAGAAGTATGAAAATAATTAGGTAGATAAATTCAAGTAAAAGATGAAAGGTTAAAGTTTCCCAATGAAAGTATGTGGTCCTGGTTAAAATAGCCAGATGTTTCATAGGCAAGCAATTTTGGCCTAACATAAAAATATAGATTATAATAAGTATTCAAAGGATGTCACTATGACTTCTACAGTGCATAACTTCATAAAAATTATATCTTAATAAAGATCCTGGGTTCATAGCCCTAAATTGTAGAAAACTAGTTTATCATCATCTCTCGAGTATCTTTAACGAAGATGATTGGCATTATTTGCTAAAAGTTTAGCTCAATTATGCTACCGTAAAAAAAACTAACCATATGGTAGGTACGATGAAATTATGGGGGTTTTATTATATGCTGACTTTGCTTAAGGCACCAAAGCTACAATGAAGTTATAATACCGTTCACAGGTAAATCTTCTATATCATAAAATTATATAAAAAGATCTTTATCTTGATTTCAATCGATTAGTATACACACAAACTCAATTAGGAATTATTCAGTGTTGTTTAACTTCAAAACTCCCAGCTTTTCCGAGGGTAAAATTCAAACATAAGTGAGCGGCAATAAAATAACTACCCACAATCACTCTCTTTAATTTAACATTTAATTTTACTGTTAGATAGAAATACTTTGACAAGTTTTTCTATAAATTATGGAAATTTGAGATTAATGACCAAATACACAATTAGAATATTTTATAAATGATAATAGGTCAAGGTCAGAAACGACAAACAAATTGGTGTCAAATAAACCACGGTACACTCTTGGCCACCACTATAGTGGCCACAACTGCTCGCCTTGACCGCGACTGCAAAAATTTTTTGCAGCTCACTTTTTTTTGTTTTTGTGTATGACTTATCAAAAATCTGCTGCGAAGTTTTTTGAATACATTTTCCCAACAAACTGGTTAAAGTACTGTGAATAAGTACAAATGTTGATAGTTGTGATGCAGACATACTTGTACAAACATATGTGTGTAGGTAAGTACTAGTATACCTGCCAACGTCCTTCGCAAGAATGCCGTTAGATCGATTTGCTGTGCAAAGGATTCCTTTCTAATGCCGTTATTTTTACTTGAGCGCAAAGATATTAATGAAAATTTAACTGCGTCATTTTAGTACAACCCTTTTTTTTTGTTTTCACTACAAATCTTCATATTCGTATAGTATTACTAGACTTGCAATTTGTTGTTTTCTTTTTTTGTGTAAAATTATTACACATTTGTTCATTCAACAAAATAATATAAAACCTCAGAGTTCAATGCCCATCATGTTAATTTTTGAAATCAATTGAAAATTTATACTTTTGTTTGAGCTTTTTACTCAGGTAAACCTTGAGTGTAGTAATATATCACACAAATGTGGTTCCACTCATTATTCTTTAACCAAGCTGGCATCACAACGTATCTTTTTGTTCTCCCCCCTTCTCTGACTCTCATCCGTACAGCTCATAAAACTTTTCTGCAAAGCTGGCTTTATAAGCTGTTGTTTTTGTTGTACATAAAGCTGAGAAAGTTTCAGTTATTTACGATTTACTTAGTTTAGACACAATATTAGATAAAAAATTTGCTTGTGATTATCCACAGGACTTAGGAAAATTTTTATTTAGCCTTTGAAGCATCGCCATTGGATACTGAATTCGATACTCTTTTGAAAGGAGTTACCAATTGTTTGAAAGATTAAACACAAATAAATAAACAAATACAAAATACGATATTACAATATTACTATAAAAAAGGCATTTGAGTATAAGTGCAAGCACGTTGAAATATTTTTAGAGCGATGATCAATTTATGTATGATATTCTGATGCTTTCCATGTATTTAATTTTTTTAGCGACTTATTCCTAATGTTTATCTCTGTTATTGAACTCTATCCCCAGTTATTGAATGTTTACGATTCGCCATGAAAGTTTTCCTACGATTAGTCTTAGATTTACATTATTTATTTTCCAATATTGTTTTAGAATGAATTAAGTAAAGGGAGGCATGCAGGTTAAAGCATGCAAATTATTTTAAAATATTTTTGTGATTAAAAAAAATTACTTTAAAGTGATCAATCATACTTTACCACTTCGTAATCACTCTTAATTGCTTCCGCTCAGCACGAAGTGTAGTTGTGCATAAATCTTCGGATATCAGTTTAGATATGCAAACAGTTTTATAATGATAAAAAAATGTATTGAAAAATAAAAATAAATTATATATAATTTAATTTTCATTGCATTTGTCCCAAAAATTATTTGGCAAAAATCAACAATTTTATGTTTAGCAGATAACCAAAATATTAGCCTAAACCTGTCATATTGTTGTTACTTATTGCTTGTTTGCTTTGGGTAGAAAAACCTTGATCGCGCACTCGGAAGTTCAAACCTTATACTCCAAGCAATGTTAATAACATTTCCTAAGCTATGCTAGAGGAAATCTAAAAACTAGTTTGATACACAGATCTCGATTTTTAATATCACTTAATGATTTCATTTTATTTCCAGACGGCTGTTACGTGTAGAATATTAGTTAGTAAAAGCACAGTTCCCCTCAACCAAGAAACTTTGCTGAAACTAGTTTTTTCAGTAGATAGCATAGACTGTTAAAAGGTTTTAAATAAATACTAAAATTTACAGTGGGTTTGCTTTGAGGAATATGGCAAATTGTGAATTATAGAGAATACGCCTCGATTGAAAGCGCTTATCAATTTTACTGTAGAATATACAAACTGGAGCGTTTATTCTAGAAATAATATTTTCTGACCCATTTTTTACTTTGCAGATTTATAATTTAACATAATCGTAGGGAGATAAGAAACTCGCAAAAAGTTGGATTAGTACGTAGTAATACGAATTTCGGCAGAAAACTTTATTCCAAATTTATTGAACGTCTTTAAATGTTATTCTTTGTTAGATTAATAAATACGTATTTAAAAGCCTTTACAAACAAGCTAAAAAGTTCTTTTAATATCAAATTGCTTCCGGAATATGAATACTTGTATAGCACACATTTTTTTCGATTGTTCTTTTGTTGAAAAAGAAATTTTTTTTATTGATTTATGTGTGTTTGCCACAAAGACTTGATTGTCTAAATCGTGTCCAAAGACAAAATGCCTTTGTTAGAGTGATAATTTTTGGATTATTAATAAAAAAAACCATTCTTATTTAAAAATGTTATCAGCTTCTTAGAATTATTTAAAGATTTTCTCTTAGCACAAGTTTAAAAGCTTGAATATATTTAATAAGAAAATAATTAGAAAAGTCTCATGTGTCTCCAAGTATCCCAGTACTAATTTATGATTAGAAATCTGCTAAAGTCTTATATAATTCGCTTTTTTTATATTTAAAAGTAAACTTCGAAAATTTTGGAACAAAATTAACTGCGTTTTATTATTGACCACAGAAAATCTTCTCTTGTTTGTTACGCTTTTCATTACATTTCGAGTATCTCTGGGAGCACGTCTTTGTGTGAAGTCGAATATGAAGACCTGGGTAGCCAATTAATATCATATCTTTATGACACCAGACTTTCAGGGAATCTTTGTGGTATAAACCGAATAATAACCCAACCATCACCGATATCAATTCCCATCGAATTTTTCGTGTTGTTTGGAAAAATATGGTTTTGTCGTAAAGGTGGATTCAAATTATTTATTTTTGGTCATGCAATGACGAACCAAGTTTTTTCAATGTTTACATAACAATATAAAGTATAACATTCCTTTAACTTTAATATAATTTTCAAAATATATTTATATTATAAAATTCCAATAACACATATACGGACATTTTTTTCGTACAATACATTATTAACATATTTAAATATTTGTTAAATAATGACTTAATATAGTTTTCATGGTACATACCTATAAAGATTTAATTGAAACTGAAAGCTAGATCCACAACAAACCCCCGCACAGTTATTAAAATAAATGTTGGATAATATTTAAAGGTATTAAGTAGCATTATATAACTGGGGCTTTTTATGATTTTGTTTTATTTAGTTTACTTTTTTTGAAACCCCCAGTAGTCATTGGAAAAACACGTCGAGTGTTGAACCTAGTTAAATGCTAACTTCCTCGACTAATAATCGCATGCTTGTTTAAGCTGCTTAAACTTTTAACTAGCAAATTTCACATGATTAAAACATCATTTAGTTGGACACGCAAACACGGACACTAACTAAATTAAAATGCTATTTAATTGTTTTAAGATTTTATTATAAACACAAATATTTTTCTTACTTTTTACATGCAAATATTTGTACAGTTTAAACGTTAAATGAGTTCTTAACTAATATGATAAAATCTAGTTCCCAGCAGAAACAAATTTGCGTGCAATTAGTCTCGGTTGGAATTTTTATGATGTAATTACAACAAATATTGTCATGCGGAAAAATAAATTATATGTATATATTTATATTTTGTTTATATGGCTATATAATTGACTAAAGCGATAACTGTCAAACTCAACATATGTGTACTTTGACGAATTTCTACACAGGGTTATACTGGAAGAAAGTTCAAAAATCGTAGAAAGTTATTTCAAAAACTCGCTTCGGTGCAAAAATCCATCATCTACATTTTTACCGTCAAATCATTTTCTGAAATGAGGCACATTTTTGAAAAGCGGATACGTAAATACACAAAAAATTTAAAGAATCCTGAAGAAATTTTTTACTCTCTTTTGCATTTAAAAATAGCTATTTTGTATTTTCTTAATATATTTAATTTAGGTAAATTTTAACCAAATCTCATTCCATTCTTTCAATTCCAGGCACAATTTGTGCTCTGCATCGTGCACACCACCCGCGCTCTCATCAGTTCTCAATGCCAATTTTCGAAGTTCATCTCCTCGCTGCTGCTGTTGAACGCCTCCATCTTCTTCTGCCTCTTCATGAACTTCTACATGGCCAGCTACAAGAAATTGCAGAATCAGAAAATGACCATCGCCGCCAAAATGAACGGTGCGCCGCTTGCGCAAAACGGTTGTGCGTTAGCAACGAAGAAAATTGTGGAAATGAACAACAACACTATGGACACAATGGATGCTATTGGCTTGTTGGCGCTGAAGGAAAAACTGAATTAAATATCTGAAAACCAAACGGAGCCAGACTTTCCATGAATCACTCCATAAATAGCAGACAAAATATATTTGATAAAAATTTTCTACAAAAAGGGGGATTATAATCGGAAGTACGTAAGAATGGCAACAAGAATATTTGGTAAAGGCTTTGATTGCTGCAACGACTTAATTTTTTTAATCAAAAACTTTGTATTTTTTAGAAATTTGGTTATTTGAAGTTCATGCTCATAGTTTATTAAAAAAGTGTTCATCCTTACCAACTAAATTGTTAAAATTTAAATAGAAAATTTATAGTAGAATGAAGAAGTAAGCTAAAAAGTAGAATCTCGATGTTGATTTATCAAATTACAAAATAAACTGTTAACATTAAAATTTTTAACAGCGAATTTTCGAGGAAAACATTTTTAAAAACACAGAAACAAGAACAATACATTTTTATGCACAAACGTTGAAGCCCCAACATACTACTGATGATTTTCATGAAAAGCCTTTTCTTGTCTAAAAAACGAACATTATACTATAGGCAGATATCTTTGATTTAACAGAACTGAAAGATTGGCGAATCGAATAGACAACTGGCATAAATATAATAGATTTATAACAGAAACAATTTATGCCCCTATAATTAACTGTCCATCTACTCTCTGTATTGAATCCCATGGGCTAATTTTAACAAGGGAGCAGAAGTCAGAGGATGGAAGGTGTGAAATTTAAGTCGTTTAGTGGAGAAAGAGGTTTTAACATTATGTCATGTTCACATCATTTTTAAAACTCGTTCTAAATTTCGAAAGAACATATTCGAAAGCAAAGTAAAGCCTGTAGATTTAAAGAAAATAAAATATGTTACGAAATTAGGATTAAAAGGAAACCCATTTCATTTCGAAGTTTAGTATTGCTGAATAACTGAACGTTTTAACCTGCTAGTTTCGCCCTGTGCAAGTGTGTTAAAATTTTGTTGACTGAATTAAAAAAATTAAAAAACTGAAAAGCTCAAGGAAGCGAGAAACACGGTTAATAGTCATTTTTAGTTGGATATTTTCTGCCGCTATAACAAAAACAACAACCAGTAATAATAGAAAAATATTTTCCAATTATTTCGTACTCCTAACTAATTTTATTTTTCTTAAAATCGAAAAATTGAGCGTTTAAAACACGAGTTTTTCTATAAGAAAAAGCCAAGCTATCAAATTGAATTAATAATATCAGTGTGAACATAGCATTAGTGCAGTAATTGAGTTTTCAAAGAAGCTCTTTATTGACTGGAAGTAGACCTGATCTTTTTTGCAAAATGATGGGGATTCTAACATCGTAGTCACGAACGATTTTTGTGTATAAAAAAAATTCTAAATGTATAGCAAGCTTTAATATAATAAAAACAAGTAATACTACAGTTGCAGCAAAAATTCAACCTACATTGCAAAAATACATTTTATAAAATAATTAATAATGAATAGACACCAACTTAACTAACTAAATTGTTTTCATTTTCATAATTTATTATTATTATTTTTTTTTTCATTTATTTTATTTTTATTTGTATTATTTTCTAATTTTTTGAAGCTATGGTCAATTGTCGTAAATAGTACAACAATTTACAAATATTTGAATTAATTTAGTATTAAACACAAGCAATTTCCCTGGAAAATTTTAAAGTAGTGCAAGAAATGAGTATCCATAAAATATAATTAAAAACAAAAAATATTTATAAAAAAAAATAATAAATTGACTAACTTAAACGCAATTACAACAAACGTCACTCTTAACTAATAAAAAGAAAAATATTCATGCCGAAAAGAAAACATTTGTTAACAAATCTATTGCATGCGATATTGGCTGCTCACACGTCGTTCGCATGAGATATTGAAAACAATTAAAATTGCGTGCGGATGAATATTGCATTAATATATTTTAAAAATAATTTATGTCGCTTTGCCTTAAACCAAAAACCAACAACTTTTTAAAACACAAACAAATACACACACACGCACACGCATACTCGTAGACACTTTTATAGATTTTCGCCGTAAAGGTGGAAATTTTGCAAACACTTGCATAGAGTTTGTGAATATCACAAAATGGGTCAATTTTTGCGATCTACATTAGCCTTAGCCTTAGCCATTCTATTATATATTTATATATTAATTATTGTAGTGATTATGTTTGTACGTGAACTACCAACGTAAAGAGAAATAAATATTTAAAAATATAAAGATTGCTTTAGGAACGAAAATAATGTATGTAAATGCTATTGATTATACTTAAATTAAAAAATAAATAAATAAAAAAATAGTATACATATGTGTAGTTAATGATGTTAAAGACGAATACTTACATTTATTTGAATTACAAATTGAGTAATACATTTTTTTGTACGTATGTGTCTATTTTGAAATATGTAATTTTGTTTTTTGTACTTTTAATGAATCTATATATAATTGTAAGAGCAAATCAAAACTGTTTAATACTTATTTGTATATAATTTAAATAAATAATTTTAATTGTATTTACCTATTTGCAAAATGATTACTTAATATATTTGCTTAGATTATTGTATAAAACTAGTCTTAAATGAAATTCCATTTTGTACTGTACTTTTTGTGGAATAGTGACAACTAAATAATAAATAAATAATAATAAAATTTGTTTTCTTTACTGTATATAATTACTTTTGTTTAAAAATCGAGAGCGGCCGAGATAATAATAACCAGAAACAAGAAATAACGTTAACTTCGGCTATACCGCTAGAATAGCATTCGCAAACAAATTTTCGTACAACAACTTGATTTTGATTGGTCAGCTGTGTATGCTATAGTAGTCCAATCTGAACCATTTATTCGGAGATTGTACCGTTAATTTGGATGACTTTGATCGTTAAGTTTATATGGCAGCTATATGCTATAGTGGCCCCCAGCTTCTTAGGGAGAAAGGGTCGTGTGCAAAATCTCAAATATTGTAGATATCTCGAGACTAGTTCGCGTATATACAGACAGACAGACGAACATGGCTAAATCAACTCAGCTCGTCATGCTCATTTTTATATTATTATATATGTCAATATGAGAGCATTTTGATCCACATTTACGAGTTTTTGATATCACAAAGGATCGGTCCATAACTATACAGGTGTGATAACTTTGATCTTCGCAGAGGCCAACCTCAATATCTAACTTCGGGTTCGGGTTGCACAAAGGCGTCCGATTCGTAAGTAGCCTCATCGACCAATGCCGCCACAGTCGCAAGCAAAATTTACTGTCAGCCAAATTAGGCTCGTAATATTGTTTTGGGTGAATGTGAGAATGGGCGTTTCTGCGGACCAAAAAAAAATTGGATCAAAACAGTTGATAATTCAATTCTTGTTTTTGGAAAGGAAATCGCACAGTGCAATCAAATAGTAGTTAGGTGTTGTATACGATGACACTTCTTCTGCAATGACAACCGTCCAAAATTGCTTAAACGAATTTCAACGTTGTCCCACATCGGCTGGTACCCCGCTCAGGTGGCGAAAACGACTACCACGAAGGATAACGCGATAAAGCCCTAAATCTTATATGGCAGATTAAAGGTGTACGAGATAAGACATGAGATTTCTTCAAAGATCCCGTGGTCATATCCTACAAGAAAATTCGGGCATGTGAAAGCTGTCGGCGTGGTAGGCGACGCGTTTGTTCACTCCAGATAACCGCAACAGTGAGACCACGCGTGTGACGCTTTTTAAGCTGAATCTGAAAGAAGGTGTGTGGCGACTAAGAGAAAATGACTGTCTATTTCAACCATCACCTAATTAAGTGACCGGCAAGTCATAGATTGGTTAAATCATATTTTATTTACCTGACAGACCTACTAAAGATTTCTATTAAAGCTTCTATGAGTTCCTTAGAGCCGATTTGACAAAACTACCCGAAACTCTTAGGTACGTGTATTCGTTCATTGCTTTCTTACTCATGGTGCTATGAGGAGTAACGTTTTTAGATTTTAGTTTCGTCGTTTCGGTGAAAACTCTTTCAATGTATTGAAATATCGGGTAGTCGTGACTTGCTATAGAGAAAGGATACTGTCGGCTCCCACAACAGCTTGTTCTATTAAATCGGATTTTATCCGGCCAAGGGCTGTTATTTCGGCGATCAAACCCTATTTGAATCGGAAAGCATAAAATAGTAGAAAGAGACTTTTTGGTCAAGAACAGAGTGGATTTCAAATGTCATTTGAACATAATTTGGCCATAAAAATATAGACTTATTATATAAACGAAAGTATTAATACATCCTCTTAAATATATTACATATATTTTTGGTAAATATATAGGTTAGGTCCCCAAATGAAGGAAGCCGCGAAAATTATAATTTTTTTTTAAATCGTTTTATTTTAAAGTAAAGATTACAAATCCCTAAGCGGAAAGTGAATTTTTTCAATAATTTATATATAATTTTATATAAAAATATATTTAACACACTTTGCACATTTTTTTCAAGTAACTTAATTGTTGTTTTTGTTGTTGTAGCAGCAGAATTCTGTAAAATTCATATCACTTAGATGTACGGACAGGTCAGATTGGGAGTCATGCTGCCTAGAGCTCCTTAGGGCCGTAGAGGTCCTTTCTTGGGCACTCAGCTGGAGTGGCGGCGCAGTGCGCGAACATGGTGCAGATTGCACAGCCGTTAAGTCTGGTGTCGCAGTATTGCGTTGGCAGCATGGGGCCACGTAACTCGTAGTCCACTCCCTATGGGTCTTAAGGCCTGAGCAGGTCTTAAGATGGCTCCATCCATGTATCGGTCTAACAATGGGGTATTCATAATTCATTCGCGTCGAAGTTCTTTCTGCACAGGCGGCCTTCGGTCGCGCTTCACAAAAGTAACCGTGGTCGGTCCAACACCGGTGTGTCCATAGTTCTTTTGCATGCTGAAAGGAGTTCGACACGAATGAATTATGAACACCCGGTTTTGGACCCACCAGGGTTATTAGTTAGAAGTTTCCACGCGAAATAACATGTGCAAAGTGTGTAATTTTATGTAAAAATTTATTCTTATTTTAAATTTAACAAAAATATAATTATTAAACAAATCAACTTTCCGTTCACAGATTTGTAATCTTCGCGTCAAAATAAGATTATTTAAAACAAAAAGCCTTCTTCGTTGGGGGACTTTAACTATACATTTATTATAGTTTTTTGAACTATTATTTACTTTTTTCCCAAATATGAACCATTATTATAAAATATAATATAATATTTCCATAAAAAAGTTATAGAATCTCAATACTAAAAAATGTAATACTCTTCTTACACTTTCAATTAGTTATATCTAATTCAGAGTTTCGATACTGTGCGGACCCATAATAACTTCTCGCTTAACGAAGAAGTTTCCGCATACGTTATCGCCATGCCGCTTTTGTCTTATTTGCTGTGTTCAGCCTTTCTTTCGCATAGTTGGCAACACCATATATGTGTTGATGGGGAAAAAATGAAGTGTGTTATGATCAGCACTCAAAGCAGAAAATTTTAGTGATTAAAAAATTATTCAATTAAATATTGGATGAAAAAATCGCGCAAATATATAAATGACAAATAATTCTTGCAGATGAAAGATCCCAGCAAATATATAATAATATACGAAAAGGACGGAGAAAGCAGAAAGTTGAACTCAAGGCGAAGACAGTGGATAGCTCCCCTCTGCTTCTGATAAGATTTATGCATGATTGCTAAACGCTTGAGAAAATCACCGAAATTTGTCAAAAATCAACGGATAGTGCAATCTAAACTCGTACATAGGCTAAAATTAAGACGCTGCTTTACGGTGTAGTAATAAACGTTAAAGTATTGTCAGCAACACGAATGACACAGAAAATTTTAAATTAAGTAAAGATGTAAACTAGAAGTAGCGCTCTGCATGCGTACGTGGAGCTCACAATTGTAAAAGAAAGAAATAATAAGTGATTAATTAATATAAATATTTATAACTGACATCCAAACAACTGTGAGTGCATTTCTAGTCCTGCTATTGAATTAAAAATACAACGAAAGACCGGACGCTGCGTCCCAACGTCATTGCACCAAAGTGCGGACCAATGATTGTGCCTAGCACATATGCAATGGAAATACAAATACAACATCAGCACACAACTGATGATAGCATTAACAACAATAACAATAATAATAACAACAAAAAAATTAACATAGAACAAACCCTAGGTGCAGCAACAACTCATTCTGTGACAGCCAATAATAGCATTTTAATGCCACCTTTAGACACTAAACTGTTGGCCAACAAACAGGGACTACACACAAATAACGAGGCTAATAATATCAATATGGATGTAGAGACCGCTGACGGTGAAGTGTCCGTACTGCTTGCTAATAAGAATTTTCACTATGACGCACTCTCCAACCCAGGGCAGTCATATGAAGCTGATTTCAATGTGGACGGCAATGGCGGCGCCAAATTTGTAGCCGGCGATGAAGCAAAACAACTGCTGAGTGAACAATCACATCCACAAGTTACATGGCTAGATAGTGAACAAATTGACGCACTTGACTTAACCACATTGGACATAGGCAATATGTTCTTTAATCGAGTCGATAGTGCAGAAATAATTTATCAAAAGAAAAAGAAGGAAATCAAAATGGTTGGAAAATATGTAATGGGAGATGTGCTGGGCGAAGGCTCATATGGCAAAGTGAAAGAGGTGCTCGATTCGGAAAATCTGTGCCGGCGTGCAGTGAAGATACTAACAAAGCGAAAACTGCGACGTATTCCGAATGGAGAACAGAATGTACAGCGTGAAATACAACTATTAAGGAATTTACAGCACAAAAATGTGGTGGCGCTTTTGGATGTTTTGTATAATGAGGAAAAGCAAAAGATGTACATGATTATGGAATACTGCGTAGGCGGACTGCAGGTGCGTAGAGTACATTTTAGCTTTATTTTAAGTAAAATATATACAAATATTAATATTTTTTAAATTTATTTTGTAAAAGGAACTTGTGGATAGCGCACCCGAAAAGAAACTACCTCTATTCCAGGCACATCGCTACTTTAGCCAGTTAATTAGTGGCCTGGAGTATCTACATGGTTGTAGGATAATACATAAAGATATTAAACCCGGAAATCTATTGCTTTCACTAGATCAAATATTAAAAATTTCCGATTTCGGCGTCGCTGAACAGTTAGATTTATTTGCTGTAGACGATACATGCACCACCGGACAGGGTTCACCTGCATTTCAACCGCCTGAAATTGCCAACGGTCATGAGTCATTCTCAGGCACCAAAGTGGATATTTGGAGCTGCGGTGTTACGCTGTGAGTATATTACAGTTAGCAATATGCAACAATATTAATATGTTAATCATGCAATTTTATTATGTGCCTACAGCTATAACATATGTACAGGTCAGTATCCATTCGAAGGTGATAATATTTATAGGCTTTTTGAGAATATCGGACGTGGGCAGTGGCAGGCACCAGATTGGCTATACAAATTAGATACACAATTAGCAGGTCTCATATTAGGTCTGCTACAAGCTGAACCAGCAAAGCGATACTCTATACAACAAATACGCTGTGATCCGTAAGTTGTTGAATAAATATATTATAAATCATATATGTAAACATAATACATATTTACGCACAGTTGGTTCATATCGGCACCGGAAGAGAAGGGGCCACCAATACCCATACCGCCATTAAAACACGATGTTTATCGCCGTTCCACGGTACTGCCTTATTTAGATGCTTACCACTATGAAACTGAGCGTGATTTGGAAGAGGTCTATTTTACCGAACACGATCTCAATCGTGAGTACGCGCGCTGAATAAATAAAAATTCTTAAAACCGCACATTTATTTAATATTACACCATCAACTAGGTGAACTTGCACGTCAGGCAGCCGCTGCTGCTGCAGAAATCAAAGCACAACAGCAACAAAAACAATTGGCAGCTGCAAATGCAACAGGGCCTTCAACAAGCACCGGCGCGTCTACTTCGAACAGCATTAACAAGGAAAAAAAATCCTCTTCACTCAAAAGACGCGCCAAAAAACTAACATCATGTATATCTGTAAAGAAGCTCTCCAATTGTCGACCATCGTAATAAGCCGTTATGTATTTGAGCGTACATGCGCAATGCAAGTAGTCATTGGAAATGAAAAAAAAAGTTTTAATATTATGTAAACAAAATTAAGAATTTTCAACTCTAAACATTTCATTAGTTGTTGAATGTGAAGTCAGTTAGCCCTACATGCATATATGGTGCAGCTTGTAGTGCTGCGGAGAGTAATTAGAAACTTCTCGCGCTGCCAAATGCAAGTCACACGCCAACTTAAAACTTAATTATTGGAACATACAAACTACTACTTATCGTCAATGGAGTAATTCTTTATAAATTTGTTTTCCTTTGCGTTATTTTTGCTAGTATTTATTAAAATGAAAATTAGTTTTCGGTAAAACTGTATTATTCGCGTCCGCTTTTTTGTTGCGTAATTTTTAGGTAGTACATACGTTTTATTTATTAACTTATGTGTAAAATATACTCCTGTTTTTTTTGTGATTTTGGTTTTATATTTTAATTTTTGCTTTTTTGTTTATGCTTTTTGCTTTCTTTTTTTGTTTTTGGTTTCTCCTTTTTTTGTTTTTGTTTTCTTCTTTTTTTTGTTTTTTTAATTTTTTGTTTTCTTAATTTTTGTTGTTATTTTCTTAATTTTGTTGTTGTTGTGTTTTATTCTTTTTTGTTGTTGTGTTTTCTTCTTTTGTTGTTGTGTTTTCTTTTTTTGTTGTTGTTTTTGTTTTTGTTTTGGTTTTTTTTGTTTTTTTGTTTTTTTTTATTGTTTCCTTTATTTTTTTTCTTTTACGCCTCTATTCAATCACATATTTTGCCGTGAAAGGGAGATGTGCAAAATTAATGAATAAAAAATTCTTTTTTTTTTGGTATAAATATAACGATTGCGTGTAATTTCTGCTTAAATAATCTGAGTACTGAAACTCACACTTGCCATATGTGTGGAGGCTTTTAATGCGTCAACAAACAAAATGGCACTTATCTTATGAGCCATATTGAGTTTGTTTTTCAAAATGTAATGTATTATTTTTTGTGCGCCGATAACATACGCAATCACATACATATATACATACTTAGTAGAATATATTTTGGAAACTTGAAGACTTCAGGAGCCAAAACCCATTTTTGAGACCATAAAAGTAATATATCCATAAAACATATAAACATACATAGAATGCATATAAGCAAATGAAAGAATGCATACATTTCCTACCGACAATACAAAAACATTGTGTTTTCGTTTCTTAGCTGAAAAATGAAATCTTATTTGTTATGAATTACATATGTGATTGGTTTAATAGAACCAATACACGTATACAGAAAAACAAAATATATTTTCCATATTTTTAACACTTGAAAAAATATAAACCGTTTGTTGTAAATGAAAAGCTGTTTCTTATTTTATTGCATATGGTATAATTATGAATGTGAAAAGTTTTATAACTCCGTCTTATTTGCCATTAAATCCACCGGGCCAACTTGACCCACATGCGCCTCATTCAACTCGGGCATAATGAACATTTGGTAATAATGTTCACCCAATTTCGTCAGCTTTTTCTGCATTAAATTGCGCAGTGTATCGACATATTGCGGCGGAATTTTGGACATATGCGGATTACGCCAATGCAGCTCGTTGTTGTCGACATGGAAGAGTGCCGGTGAGGGCACGTGATCTTTTAAGTAATTCCAAATGCACTCCTTCAACAGCAAGGCAATCTGCGAAAAGAAGTTTGTAATTTGAAAATAATCTCTGATAATTGCTTTTTGGTGACAATTTAACTAACCTCTGGTGGTTCAAAGTGTTTGATGATTACGTGTAGATTGGAAAGTGGTGGCGGCAGTAACTGTCCCATTGCCAGCAACTGCAATAGTTTTTGCGTACAACGCATAAGTTCGTCGTTGGGATCGAAAGGTTGGAATTTGTTAACTGCAAAAAAATATAAAAAGCAATAAAATACAATACAAAAAGCTATTTTCATCATAATTACCATTTTTTGCGCGCCACTGATGCAAACAGGTGGCACACATGGCACGCAGAAGCACAGATGAAAAGCACAGCGCCGGTCTATGCGCTGCTATAAAGCCCAACAACGCCCAAAGCACTGGAGATGTGGTAAATGCGCGACGTATCATCAGATCACGTTCCATTGTCACTTTGGTGAACTCTTCATCCGGAAAGGGCAGACCATTGTACATGACATCCGTTGAGACCATTTCGACCAGCAATAGCGATATCATGGAGTAACCCTCGACGGAATTTTGTTTATCTGCCACCGTGCAGCAAGCATCTAACGCTTTGAGCAACAACGTTTGCATTTCAGTTGGACACACTTTTTGCTGCTTTGTGGCCAAATCAGGTCGCAAACCGCGCCCAATCACACCCGTATGCAGCACGGTACGATTGGCATTTGGCCCTAAACTATGTCGTTGATTTTGTAGCAAAACCATTTCATGCTCTGGTATTTCCAGCTGATCCACTTCTGGTTCTTCATACTGACCGAATAAATAGCCATAATAGAAAAGTGCACCCTCTACTAACTCGCGTATACAAGCAGTACGCGCCGCCTTGCGTGCAACGCATTGCCGCGTCAGCAGCAAGTAAGCACGATTCACTGCAGCCGAACGAGATATTGAACCTGCAATATGAGAAAAGTGAAAAATAGATTATTAATAGTTATAGGAAAATTTGTTTAAAACTAAAAAAACGTTAACTTCGGTAGAAAATACCCTTCACAAGTAAAAAAAAAACTTTTCCATTCAAGAACTTTATTTTGATTCTTCGGAAGAAAACGGCAAGTGCAAAATTTCAGATTGATATCTAAAGAACTCAACTCGGAATGCAGACAATAGTTGAGTTCTTTAGATATTAATCTGAAATTTTGCACTTGCAATATATATATATATATATGTCTCCGACATTACCTTCTGGGTGTTACAAACTTCGCGGCAAACTTAATACCCTCTTCAGGGTATAATAATTAATAGCTATAGACAAAACTTTGTTTAAAAAATATGTAGCTTACTTTTTTCGGTGAGTGCCAAGAAGAAATACTTTACGCTTAAAATTGACAGCTTTAATATCTGCACAAAAAATATTGGATTAATGAAATATTATAATAACAGTAAAAAGAGCTTACCTCTGTGGTGCGGATCACCGTGCCTTTCAAGCCAACATCAATTGTGTTGAGCAAGTCTATGATAGTGTGTGCTAAAATACGCCGGCCGGCATCATTTTCTTCTTCTTCGCTTTCGTCGGAATCATGCAGCGGTATGCCTACTATGAGCTTGGTATCCTCATCTGTATTTTCCACATCCATTGCCTCCACTTCAGCATCCGCCGCGGCATATTTTACTTTTTTGTTATCACTACCAATTTCGCTGTTACTAACATTTTTGATATTTTGTGCCACTTTAATTGCCTTCGCGCTGTTTGCTTCGGCTAATTTATTCATGTGTAGAATCACTTTAGTTAGCGTGACTTCCAGAATTTGTAAAATTTTCGGTAAACAATCGTTGAGCACATTTGGCAGCAGGTTTTGCTTCATATATTGAAATGAGTTCTTCTTTTGCATTCTGCGACGATGAAATTTAAAGAATACATTAGTTAATATTTTGTGATTACTTTATATGTATATGCAAACTTACTTTGTTAGCGTGTTAAGATTTTTGAATGTGTTAAGCGCCTCTGACTGGTCACTGGTTATTAAACGTGTGTGTTTGAATTGTTCCTGAAGCAGCACATCTTCCAGCACCATTTGTAAACCTGGCTTAATGCATGGAAATTCAACTACACCACTTTGACCACCAATTATACGTATGACGGCACCCAAACCATTGGGATTTGTCACATATGACTTGCGTAGTAATTCCGATATCGTCTGATAGTAAATATGTGAATGTTGTGTAGCTGAAAAAAAAACACATGCTATGACAATAACATGATGCATTGATATATTTCAAGCTTTTACATACAAACAATCAACAGGAGACGCACAGCAGTTTGCTGTTGAAAGATATTTGCGCTCAAACAATTCTTCCAAAGCAAATATTTCGAGTCTTCGGTCGCCAGGTCATTCATTAGCGGGCAAACTGTTGCATTTAGTACTACTTGTTCCAGATCTTGCAGATTATATTCGAGGAAATCCTGACACCAAGTGTACTGTTCTGCCATTTGTGACACTGCGATAAGCAGATGAGCACCATTTGATTTTAAACGCAATGTCAGACTGTTAAGCGATGGTTGCATCTCTGCAAACACCTTGTTGCTCATCCAAAGGGGGGTTTTCTGTATTATAGTATTGCGTAGATCATCACTATCTACATATAAGAAAATACGTAATATTCTGTTAAATTTATACGGCCCATATAATTAATTACATACATATTTCAAGAAACACAATCACCAGGTTTTGCAGTAATGCATCCGCATATGTAGCCATCAGCAATAGAAATGGTATGATACAGGCATCTAAACTTTTTTTTGGATTAAAACCATCTTTCAGGAGCTCAGTCAAAGCTTGCTTAAGCTCCTGTTCATGCGCGAATGATAAGTAATCTAAAATACCTAGTTCAGAGTCGAAGCGACAGCGATAATCGTCAGCAAAACGTTTGAGGCTGCATTGCAAAATATGTGATATAATGCTTAAGGGAAAGCAACCGCCTAGACGCGCTACGACCCAATCAAAACTAAGTGAATAACGTTGAAAAGCACCTGAAAGGAGAAAAGTGTGTTATAATTTATTTGTTTTCTCAGATATAAATTGAAGAATGCATACCCAATAAAGTTTCTACACAAGTCTCTTTCTCACTATTGGTAAGTTTACGAAAACTCAAACTTATTAACGTAAGTAAACCGCGCATTGCACCGCAATTGAGCCAATAATTACATGCAGCTATAATAGACATCTTTCGTTTGGTATACCTGTCTGATAACTTTCCTACAAGATCAAGACTCCACGAAGCAATCACGGGACCCCAAGCTGGGGGTCCTTTGACAACTAAATTTTCAAGCGCCTCTTGTACTGCTGCCCAGTTACTGTCCTCTATAACCGCTAGCTGTGTCGTAGCATTGTTACTCGAACTGGGACCCGCCCCTTGTTTACCCTGTCGTATTGGTAGTCCAGTGGTATAGTCTACATTTGCATTAGCCAAATAATTTTGTACTGCTACTTCAGCAACAATCGAGAAATATTCCAAGATAATCTCGCGTGCAGCCGGCAAGTCCTCAAGCAGGCGAAAACAACTTCGCAGCAAAGAGCTATTTGGAAGCTTCTTAGGATTGCCATTATGGTTCGTTACTGCTTGAATGAATTGCTTTAACTCCACCAAAACATGTTGTTTTAACATTTTATAACTTTGATGAAATATTCAGCAAATCAAACGCCAAAAATATCCTGGTCAAACACTGATCATAACAAAACTGAGTAAGTAAAGGAGAACGTTGCAGTAAAGAAGTAAGTGTTACCATATTTTGTGAATTTCCTAAATAAACACATACTAAAAAAAGCTTACGGCAGAGAATGTAGACTATAAATTGATAATAATTTACATTTGCTGCTTACGGCAACTCAAACCAGAGAATGTAGATATAAACTACATAATATATATATATATATATATATATGTATATAGATATAAATCATATAATATTTAATATTTCTTAATTCTCTGCTCAAACCAATTTAACCTACAACAGCTGATTTTTGTTTTTGTTGTGATTTCCAGAAATGGAAAACAATTATCAAAAACAAGACAAACAGAAAGAAAATGAACTTGTCAAAGCAATTTGTCAATTTGAAGAGGCTAAATTATTATTTATTTATCGCTCCGCAGCAAAAGATTATTGGTAATTGGCTCGGTGCCAATTTGCATCAGAATTGTGCCTATTCTAGTAAAATGTCAAAGTTTATCGAAATACCAGTGCAAGCAGATAAGTTACTAAAATTATTCCGTTCGACAGTAGTTCCCAAATTAAATGTGAGCGACAACAGGGGCAATCAACGTCACAAAGGTCAAGCTGGACGAATTGGGGTAATTGGTGGGTCTCTAGAGTACACCGGGGCTCCATATTTTTCAGCCATTAGTGCTATGCGTGTAGGTGCTGATTTGGCTCATATATTTTGTCAACGCGATGCTGCTGTTGTTATCAAATCGTATAGTCCCGAATTAATTGTGCATCCTTTATTGGATGCGGATGATGCTATAGAACAAATGTCACCATGGTTAGAACGATTACACGTATTAATCATAGGTCCTGGACTAGGACGAGATCCAAAGATACAAAAGACTGTCGTTTGTCTTATCGAACTTTGCAAACAACTAAATAAACCCTTAATTATTGATGCCGATGGCCTCTTCATACTCAATGAAAATATGGATTTGCTTAATGGATTAAGCAATGTCATATTGACGCCAAACGTTATAGAATTTCGACGTTTATTTAGTGACGATGTCGAAGTAGTAAAACAGCGAATGGCGCAGCTAGGTGATGGCGTAATTGTACTTAAAAAAGGTTCACAAGATAAAATTTATATACCAAGTACCTCGGAAATTTACACACTTCCATCGGGTGGTTCTGGTCGTCGATGCGGCGGACAAGGTGATTTACTATGCGGTTCGATTGCTACCTTTTTTCATTGGGCTTTAGAATCTAATCAGTCAAATGCGGCATTTATTGCAACGTTTGCGGCGAGCTATTTGGTGAAGCAATGCAATGCGGCTGGTTTTCAAAAATGGGGTCGCAGTATGGTGGCGAGCGATATGTTAAATGAAATTCATTTAGTGTTCCGCAACATTTTTGAAGAGCAGTAATTTTGTTTTATGCCAATGAATACGGCGAAGAAGTTGATGTAAATGGTTAGCGAAAACACTTGTTGATTGCATTTTTAAGTTTTCTTCTTTCTCTCTCTCAATTTTATTAAAGTTCGTAGTTTTATAGAAATCAATATTCACTCAGCGATATATCTATTTAGGAAGTTAAGATTTAAAATGTATACTCTGATTTTATTGTATAAATTAATAATATTTGAAAATTAATAAATTACCGAAGTGGCATAAACGCATAAACCGTTTGTGCGACAGTCAGATCTACTTAACAGGAACGGACCCGGAATTTTGTCCGGCAAGGAACATGAGATTTAAAATATATACTCTGGCTTTATTGTTTATTTTAATAAATATATATGTATCTATATATATTTGAGAATTAATGACTTATAAATTGTAACAAAACAAACTAATTGAGAATACTTATACACCGGAGCATAAGGAAAAGGGTGTTAGATGAACTGGGTTTGTTGGGCATGCAAAGAGGTGGTTAGTATCATGCGAAGACTTATTGCACGCAGGACATATGTTTGGAATATCGGGGTCTATTCTGGATAAGTAGGAGTTTAAACTACTACAATATCCAGAAGGAAGTTGCGCGAGGTTCACAGCTCTACGTCTGCTGATTTGACTCCTGGTACGCAATTCACTGCGAGGGAGTCGATGAAGGTGTTGATGGCTCCACTGTGAATGGCGGTCAGTACTTGTCTATAGTTAGGTGCGTCCGAAGTTCGGTCGGCGTACTGTCTGATGTCGTCGACGTAATCAAGTAAGGACCTCTTGATGTTCCTAGGATGCGGTTCCGCTTCAAGTAGATGACGCAGGGGTAATTTCTGCGAAAACATCCCAACAGAAACTGCTTGGAGAGGAGCTCGTTATGTTCCTTAACCGAAAGCATAAGGACCTCACTGTGCAGGTGTTCAATTGGGGACATCAAGAGGCACCCCGTGATAGTCCGGAGTGCAGTGTTTTGACAAGTCTGAAGCTTCCTCGTCTGCGTTGCACTACATCCAGGCGACCAAATTGGTGATGCGTAGTTTAGGACCGGCGGGCTGATTGCCTTGTACTTTGGCAGTTATCGCGGTCGTGTGAGGAATGAAGAAGCACAGACTGTCCAATGTTACGCTTAAAATTTTAGAGTTATTCACTGTCGGAATTTTTGTGCCATCGATTGGTATTTTCAGGTCCAGTCTGAATTCCTTCGTCCAATTTGTGAAGATGGTCGCTGTGGAGTGGATTTAGTGGGGCAGAGTGTCAGACTCCTTGCAGAGAAGAAGCGAGCAAGGTCGTACAGGTAGCTGTTTACTTTTGAGCACATGCCATCGATTCCATTACCCGACGTCAATATCGTGCAGTCATCAGCGTACGAGGTCTCGGAAATTCCTGCTGGTGGTTGGGGGAGTTTCGAAATGTAGAAATTAATCAGTAGTGGGGAGAGAATACCGCCCTGCGAAACCCCCTTTTCAATTATTCTAAGTTTGGATTTTTGGCCTACGGATGATGACCCGCGCAAGTAGTTCATGGTCTACCGCTTCAGCCCTGGAGGGACGTTGATTGTTCTAGGTCCTCAAGTAGCGTTGTGTGATTGACTGTGTCAAAAGCTTTTGAAAAGTACAACGCTAAGAGGATCGTCCTCTCGCAAGGTGGACATAGACAAGTTGAGGACCTTGGTGAGGTAGCTTACTCCCGTCGAGCCTAGATGTTTTAGCATCAGCATGCTTATTCCGTCAGGGCCAATGGATTTAGACGATTTGGTCTTTTTGATGACACTCTGAACCTCCCATCGGTGAAAGTAAGTGGTGCGCAGTCTTTTGGCATTTTGCGCAGCCGTCGGGTAACACATCGATTGGCCTTGTCGGTCGAAGGGTGCAGTGTAAGCTGTCAGCTAAAATAGCTCGCGCACTTCTTCGGGTCCGAATAGGCATGGCCATCGAATTGAATTTCAACCCGGTAGTTGACAGTAGTCCAAAGCTTACTTACACCGGTGGAGAGATTGCAGGACTTCAGGTGCTCTATCCATTTTGTCCGCTTAAGTTGATTTACCATTTCCCGATCTCCAAGCTGAGATCCCTTATTCGGGGATCGGCATGGCGTAAGGTGTCGCGCTCGTTTGCTAATACAGCTACTTCGCCTGGGAAATAATGGTGGAGTTCCGCGATTCTTCCAGCCGGTATGAAGCGAGCAGTAGCAGCAGCGATCACCTTGCGGATTTGACGCTCGCCAACGATGACGTCCGTAGCAATGAGTAGTGTTTTGAAGGTGCTCTCAGAACATTTTATACTCTCGCAACTTGCAAGAATCAAAGCCCGGGAAATTACTGCAGGTGTTAACAAAATTTTATATTAAACAAGTATTGATTTATCAATTGTAATGATCCGATTCATCCCATTTTTAACACAAAAACATATTACAAGTATTATTAAGAGTTTCATTTATTTATTTTATTATATGAATTTCAATTATACAAGTATATCATACACATTGACCGATATTTTTGGTAAAAATTCAACTTTAGGCAATGGAGTCCACATATTCAGCACCTAGGAGCGTGAACATACTTTAAACGCATTATTCAGATGGAATTTAAAATGGTGTACTATAATATAGATATATGATTTGAGAAGAATGTTATGTACCGAATTTGGTTGAAATAGATTAAGCAGATCCCAAGATATGGGTTTTCACCTAAAAGTGGACGGTGTCACGTGTACTATTTAATTTTGAACGCGGTTCCTATAAAATCATCTCATAATATCCCAGGAATAAAAGTTAATGTCAATGGCGTATTTAGTGCTTGATTTATCACGCTTTTAGTAGTTTTTAACAGTACCGTTTCACTCACTTTCACACTGTCGAAAGAGGTGCTAAAAACTTTAATTTTCAGTGAATTTTATTATTATAGCTTTAGCGGCTTAGGAAATATGCACATTAACCTATTGGGGCGGGACCAAGCCCACTTTTAAAAACAATTTAAACTGCAGATGCTTCTACCTAATTTGATCCTGTATACCAAATAACAGTCTTGTATCTTATTGTGGTGCTTAGTTATGGCAATTTATTTGTTTTTGATTAATGGCGTTTTGTGGGGGCTGCAGCACCAACTGTCTTACGGTACCAAGAAACATGTCTTCCAAGTTTTATAAAGATATCTCAATTTTTACTCAAGTTACAGCTTGCACGGATGGACGGACGGACGGACAGACAGTCACCCGGATTTCAACTCGTCTACTCATCCTGATCATTTATGTATTGTATATACTTGTATAACCCTATATCTAACTCGATCAGTTTTAGGTGATACAAACAACCGTTAGGTGAACAAAACTGTTATACTCTGTAGCAACATGTTGCGAGAGTATAAAAATAGTCTACCTATTTATAAGTAAATGTATATGACTGTGATTTTGAGTTATTTTAAGAATATTTCAAATATATTCAAGTTTTTTTTCGTAATTACTACAAAATATCGTGACTGGCAACCCTGCGTTGAAAGAGATTGCTCTTTGACTCTCAGCTCATTCCTTTCTACGGGGAAAATCCAATTTTTGAGGGTATCCCACCGTACGGTGTATAGAAGCGGTGGTGAGTGTTCATTTACATTGCGCTCTCAAAAGATAAGTTGTATCAGCTGACTCGACCAAAGAAAGTGAAGACATGTCATGATTGCACTATTTTATATCAATGCCTGCAGACCCATATACATCCAGCTCTGTACCCTACAAGAAACTGCTGATGGGTTCACCAATACACTTATATTTACTATGTCAGTACTGACAGTCAAATGAACAGTAAAATGACTGTCAATGTTTACGATTTTTTCAAAAGCAAATTATATTATCTACCGCGCAACAGTATGTATACATTGGAACTCTTTTGACCCTCATTATTGGCAAAATATCTTTTTGTGTCGCTCTGTGCACTCACACTAGCAAAAATAGCCCAGCAACTCAATCGAGTTTTTCTGTCATTCCTTTTCATGCTTCCTATGCATAATACCTACCCGCTAAATAGTTTCTAAGAAAAACGTATGACGGGAATTCCCTAATCCACCATAATGTATTGAATACCCGCTACTAATATTTTCAAGGCCAAATTTATAACAGGACTTTTCTAATCTTGTTTTTCTATTTATTATAAATCATCCTTGAATTAATTACAATTCTTGATTTAAATAAAATGATATTGGAACTAAATCCTAACCGCAAAGGATTTATATGAAAGCATCTAAATATATAACGTAAATAAAAATGTAAAGTTACCATTTAATATCGCTATATGTTAGTAAAAATTTAAATTGAATATATTTGAGTATATTAATTTTTTCTTCATTTTTCAAAAAAATTTTATTATTCTATGCATATCTATATAGTATATAAAACAAAGTCAGGTTTTTTACAATACTTATAACTCGGATCTAGACCAATTTTTATGGTTTTTGGTTCCTAGAATTTGTCCCCGCCCAGAATAGCAGAATACATCTTAAAAATAATGAAAACTCGACGAAAACATAGTTATAACAGATGAATAATTTTCCCTAACTGTTACTTTGTTTCGTACCTGCAAAAAATTTTCCATCCTTTCAAATACTATAAGTAATGGTTGACATGCGTTCAGAAACAATGACAAATGATTAACGTTTACGCGTGCATTCATAAATTTATTTTGTGTAAATTAAAGTTTATATTCTGGAAAACAATTTCTAAAATTTTTTTATAGGTCAACGAAAACGTAAATGTCTTTTTATGTTGTCTATGATTTTTTAAAGGTTTATTAAGTTAGGTAAGTAGTAAGGTTAAAAAGTGCTGAACAATTGTTTCTGCATCTCCAAATCAGATTTCACATTTTTGCTATCATCATTTCGACATGCTTCCCATCGAACCCACGTGACCTGTGGAACAAATACAAAGATAACTTGTCAGAAGACACTTTACATCGAATTCGTGTCGGCACAAGAAATCCCGATATTGAGGCGAATGAGTAGATGCATAACCAGGCTTTGCTCTTGATCGAAGATATGTGTTACCTCATTTGCGGCAGTTTGTTAGTCAGGTTAGGAATGCCAGCACGCGATCTCGGAATGAATGACGCATTTAATAGAGAATTGGAACGTGAACGTGAACGTGAATATGATCCATGTGAATTAGCACAGTCAGTTCGAACGAATGTACCACTATTGAGTCCTAAACAGAGAGAAAACTATGATACATTGATTAATGCAATTGATGATGGAAATGGTGGCTTTGTTTTCTGGATGCCCCTGGCGAAACTGGAAAGACATTCCTCATGCCATTGATTTTGGCCACTGTACGTGCGAGATCAGAAATTTGCGGTATCAGTTGCTTCTTCTGGAATTGCCATTAAACCTTCAAACTACTGAAT